GAGAGCCCGTTTCTGATCCTCCTGTGGCCACATGTGTGTGTGATGTTATCAGTTGAAGAAGCACCTTTATGCCCCTCCCCTTGTGGGGTCATCTTTTCTTTAGGCTGAATTTCTGTTTAGCCTGACTCTAGTAATGGCTTTGTATTGCTGTTCCCAGGCCTCTGGGCGGGGAGATGACCCCTGTCTCTTCCCTCTTTATTTCAGATTCCTCTTGGTTGCATGGTTTTACAGCACTAATGTGGTGGCTTTTTCCTTCAGTGGGCCGAAGCCCCACCTCAAGTACCCAATCCTATGCAATGTGTACATTCACCATGAATAGTGCCCCCTCATGCCTGGAGGCAGCATTGCAGAAATCCAAGCTAAGTCACATACAAGTTCAAATGCGTTCTGGGGTAACAAAAGGTTAAACTGAAAGTCCATGACAAATGCTCAGACTAATAATCCTCCTGCCTCTCTCAGGCTCCCCTGAAGTCCTCTTCTTTCTGGACCCATGCAGAGCTTCTCCTATGTTAGTTCTCCCCAGCAGGATTCCCTTACTGCCTCCCTTCCCCTGGGATTCTGGCAGGGACTGCCTACAAGGAGCAGGAGGATCCATATCTCAGGCATCACCCATCGGAGCCTGCCCTGCTCCCTCTGGGTCTCTTCTATTTGCTGTTCCCCTTCCAGAATGCCAGCCTCAGGACTGTCTTCCTGGATGCCTGCCCCGTGTTCCAGGGGCTCACCATAGGAATTATCTCTACTCTGATGGCTCAGCTGTCTGGCCACAGCCAGCCCCAAACTGCTGGACCCTCCTCTGCAGTCTCTCCCCTCAGAGTGAATTCCCAGCTCTGTTTAAGTTGTCCTTCCTGACTTCCTGTAGGGGGCGGGAACTAATTATCAGTAAGCTGCCGTATTACCATTAGCTGGGGGCAAGGCTGAGCCCGGCCAGCCAGCCAGTGACAGTCAGACTGAAGGATCAAGTTCTGGTCTATTTTGGTGGTTTTCAAGATTTGGTCTGCTGAGCATTTTCTGGTGGCCCAGAGCGAGCTGGGTGGTCACATGGTGCTGGCTCTCCCTTGTTGCTTTCATTTGCTACACTGCATTAAAAGACAGGAAAAATATATTCAGTTCTTTCCAGTGTAAACTGTTGCTGAAGTTGTCAAAGGGGTGCTGTGCAATCATGAATGGAAAAAGAGGTTACCCATGCAGTTGCCAAAGGGACAGGACATGGGTCTACACAACTGTGAATAAGTAGGGAGGTATCCATGTGTGACTGTTGGTGCCTGGCGGGGCGCCACATTGAGATTGCTCAATCAGGGCAAACTGCAAAGAATGGGGCAGACAATCCTCCAAACTGGTGGTTATTCTAATAATTAGATTCACCATGCCAGCAACAAAACAGCTTACTGGTTACCCACAAGCCAAAAGCACAGCTCCCTTAAAGCAATCCAGCCTTGGGCAAATATGAGGATTACTGAAAATCTTGTTCATCATAACGTTCTACCAATCCCAAGGGATCAGACACATTACCTGCCAGGTCAATGAATATTTCAGATCTCACCCAAATACACGCATGCTTACAACCAATTCTATTAACTAAACTAAAAAATTATTAAAAAGAAAAGAGAGAGAGTATTGTGGTTAATAGGTCATTATACATACAAGTATGAATAAAGTTCTTAGGTCAGTTTCATAGTAGAGATGGTGAGCTGCTGAACTGCAAAAAGTTCTTTCCAGAATCAGTTCACCAAATAGGCAGTCCATATACAGAGTTTGTTCAAATTATTTTATGAGAGTTAGCAGGGTAATCCAGACTGGAGCTGGAGACCTCAGTCTTGCGACTCAAGCTTTCCCTGACCAAGCTTAAGCAGATCTGAGATAACAGGATCAGGGCCCTGGAGTTCTTTTATAGATCTCTGGCAGGCTATAAATAGCCTTTTGACAGCAGGTATTCCTTGGGTGAAGCATTATGGCTTTGAAATAAAGCCTCCTATTTCCTATGTATACACAGGTAACTAGTTGCATTTATCAGCATAAGGTAATTATCCATTAAGCAGTTCGTAGACAGTTTAGTACAAACTTCAAAGAGAAATATATACAATGGTATTACACTCAACATTCATCTAAATGTTAATATCCCCTTAATCTCTGAATCAATAGAATCTCTATTAATCTCTGAATCAATATAATATAGTAACAGACAAGAAATCGTCTGGTTACATTGTTAACCTCTAACAAGATAAAGGTAAACACAGACAAATACTATCACTATCTTCTTCTAATTCTAAGGAATGGCCTTAATTACCATTTATATACTTTTCTAATATGTCTTTAAAGGTTGAATTTGCATCATTTAGCTTGCTAGTTGCATAACCCATTCTGGCTCTGTGTCACACCATGAGACATACTCTGAAAAAAAATTGAGCCTGCCGGTCTACTTGTATACTGTATTCCACATATTATTGTCCAGCAAATAATGTAACGGGGGTATGGGGGGAGGGGATTTGCTTTTGTGCTATTTTTACTAGCTCTAAAAATGATGGGCCTGATTCATCACTGTCCTTGTATAAACATTTATGCTAATGCATAGTGAGTATACAATACTACTATTCCGGTCTGGTGGCATTTTACCCTTGCTTTGCCCTGGTGTAAATGGTGGAGCAGGGTAGTAGTGAATCAGGCCGGATGGCTCTCATCCAGTTGTGTGGTGCACATCATCTTTATATGAACGAATGGTCATTTTTCATTTCTCTTAAAAACCTTTGGGTGTGTTTATTGACCATGAAATTGAGGGACTTATAATGCTGGCTTGAACAAGCAGATGTCCCAAGTGTTTCCTGGTACTGATCTATAACTCCCCGCATCTTCCAGTTTTGGTCCTATCATAAGCAGAGACTGCATTGTCACTCACTTTGAAATGCATGCTGATGTGGACATATGGAGACTAGGGAGAGAAGCACCATACTTAAGTTTACTTTACTAATATTACATAGCTGTTCTAAAGCACTTTTTAGCCAAGGATCTCCAAGTAGTTTACAAACATTGCTCAAGCCTCAGAACCTTCAGTGTGAGGGAGGGAAGTGTTGTTATTCCCTTTTTATATCTGAGGAAACTAAGGCACAGAGCATTTAAGTGACTTGCCCAACTTGCAGTCACCAAGCTGGAAAATAAACCTTAAAGTCTTTTGCGTGGGGCAAGTTTGAATCAAAGTCTTCCAGGTTGAAAGGCTAGTGCTCAAATCCATTGCACCAGTTAACTTTCAGATGTTCCCCTTCTAGCCCATGCCATATCAGCTATACATCATACAAAACACTACAAAGTGGAATCCTGCAATTCTGGGTTTATCTCAGTGAGAAATAATTCCTGACGAAGTTATGTCAGATTTTAATGTTTTCAGAAAGCTCCTCAAAGCAAAATAATTCCTCAAAGGAAAAAAATAGAGAGTAAGTTTGAATACTCTTGCACTGTTTATCTGCCTGGTGCTTGAGTAATGATTTTTTTTCAGGTTTTGCATTGGATTAGTCATGTTCACTGTAATCTTTTTCTGTTGGCTCTCTGAAAACAGACAAAACATAAACACAAGTGTTCAGAAAAATAACCGAGGGGAAGAATAGCATATAATATCTATTTTAAAATGGCATTTATGAGACATAATGTATTTAGGCTACTACCTGGGTGTTGTCTGCTGTGTCTTATATTCAAGCAACCTTTCACAATTCAACTTTGCAGGCTCCAACTTTGCTGACTCCTTCCGAGAAGTGCAATAGTGCTGTGCCCTGGCTGGTTAGACTGGTAACTGTCCAGTTCAGTCCATAGCCTCTAGGGATATTATAAAGACAGTTTCTGAAACCTTATTTCCTTTCTAGATGATCTAATTTGAAATGAGATCTCAGTTCTGGGTTAAGGCACATAGTTTGGAGAACTAATTTGAAAACATGTAATATACAACTTGACCTCCACATTCCCTCTCCAGGATAAACACATGAAAATTTAAGTTGGAGTTTAAAATAATCTACAATAGACCAGTAGTTCCCAGATTTCTCGGGCTATTGTACCAAATTCTGAGTTCATTTATAGCATGGTAAATTTGGAACAATTGCACTGAAGTCAACAGAGTTAACTGTTGAGATAACTGAAATCAGACTCTTGACCCAGTGACCTCAACTTTATCAACCAGGGTTGAAAAAATTAATATTACATCACTGATGTAGTATTTAATTCACAGCTGCTAGAGTGTTCTTTCTCTCCCTGCTTCAAGGCTCAACAGAATAGTTTTACGCCAGTGCCCATGCAGTGTTGCCAGCTCTCACAATGTATCTAGTGTTTTTTTGGAGCCACATCTCTTGGAGTCAGGGGATTACATGAGAATTCCATCCTTCATTAAAAAAAATAGTGAGCTTCTAGTCCTTGTGGTTGTTGTGAAAATCTAGAAAATGTGACCTGAGTGCACCCTAAAGGCTCAGAAATCAAATTAAAAGACCCCCCTCAGAGTATTATTATTTAAAAATTTTGTGATTTTTTTAAGCCAATTTTATGATTTTTTTACACCTGACTCATGATTTCTGATTGCTTGGGCTTGACAATACTGGTATTGTGTGTGTGTGTGTGTGTGTGTGTGTGTGTGTGTGCGTGTGTATGTACTCCCCATTAATTTTTCTGAACCTGCAATGGATCCTGAGCTACTCCAAGTCACAATCTGATTTGCTCTGGGATGTGGAGCCCTCCAAGCTTCATGTAGGTTAGCACACATGCCACTGACTGGGAAATAGGCAGCAGCATTGCACTGGAGCCAAGCACCGAGGGTAGATGTTGTGGAGAGGTTCAGCCTAAAATAGCTCAGAAAAGGCAGAAGTACCAGCACCTGCAGCAGCAACAGTGCTTCGGGACCAGGCACAACAAGGATTGTTTTTAGGAGCTTGCTTACACGACCACTCCTGCAATATATGTTAAAATCAAGAACAGGGGGAAAACGTCCATAATCTATCAAAAATGTGTTGTCTCTTGTTGTTTCCCTTTTCTAGAAAAAACAAGTGAGTCAGACAAAGATCCGGGTGATCTCCACTATCCTCTTCATCCTGGCAGGGTGCATTGTCTTTGTGACCATCCCTGCAGTCATTTTCAAACAGATTGAAGGATGGACAGCTTTGGAGTCCATTTACTTTGTGGTCATCACTCTGACCACAGTTGGCTTTGGGGATTTTGTAGCAGGTAAGTAATCTGAGCATTGAAATGTCACCCTCAGTCTAGTGGCACCGGGTAGAAGTGCCTCGGCTCTGACACATTTTTTCTAAGGTGCACAGCAGGCTTTTAAAAATACGTTGAATTCCACTGAAAATGATTCTGAATGTCTTCATCTGTGTCACTGTGCAACTGACAAATAACAACATAGCAGTACAAGCTAATTTAAAATCCAGGTGCCTAGCCATCTGACGAGCGCAAGCTCTGAGCAGTGTAAGCAAAGTGAGTATCTTCTTCTTGGAACCTCTTACTGTCCTTTATCATGCTATGAATTATGCATGAATGAAATTAATTTCCTACTGAATTCAAGACATCTGAATTGTATTAGTGCCTTTTGCATCACACTGATAAAGGCCTTAATAGCTAAGGGGATGCACTGCTGAGACTTTCCCATTGGATGGCCATGTGGGAGCATCTGTGAGCTGTGCTGTCCAGTACAGCTGATAGCTGCTGTAACAGGAGCATAGCTTCCACTGCTTGAGCTGTAGCTTTCTAGGAGGCAGCTTGCAGGATTTTACTCTCTAATCTTGACAGAAATTTTGACACTGCAGCCATCCCATTAAGGAAAACTAACATTAGAAGTGAAATGGGACTAAGGGAATGTGCATTTGAGTGTCATGTGGATATGGTGTACTTTCTGGGATGAGTACAGTCCTAAACAGGTACCATATTCAGCCCCGTCAATTACCAGTAAAGGGGCTGTCCTGGGATTGGTGGTCACAGCAGCTTTGCTGAGGAAAAGGTGGTTAGAAACCGAGAGGCATCTGTTCTCCCATTAGTATGTGAATTCCATTCCCATTAATGTTTACTGGCTTTAACAAATGTGTTGAGATGAGGATGGATCCCTGTGTTGCAAAGAGATGTACTATGCAATTGTCCTGTTATTTCCCATTGCACCAATGAAATCTGAGTGAGTTAAAACAATTCAAATTCAACCAGTTGGTGACCAGTTTGCTTGCTAAAAGTTGTTCTTTTATAAACAGTCCCCTCACCCTCCCTTTCTTATTTTGGTAGGGAAGACATGAGTTATCTGTGCAGATGGGCCTGAATCAAACCCCAGATCTGAATACACCTGAACTGTGGGAAAATTCAGATCCAGATCTGAATTTTTTGACTTTGGTCCATTTCTAACTATTTGAATGTGAAGAATAATGGATAGAGGAATCCACTGATGGTTGGGTTTTTGTGGTATCATAAGAAATTTGGGTGTTTCACAATATTTTTCCTGGGTCTGTGGAACTTTCCCTTCCTAACTGTTTTTTTTAAAGAAATTTAATTCTAAAATATTAGCTCTTTAAATCTAAAAAAAAAATAAAAAAATTGTCTGACAGCTAAGATGGCCTGAAGAATAAAATCCATAATTTTTCAGCAGCCCACGGCTGGTGTTCTACTAGAGCCAAATGGAATGTAACCCAAAAGCCTCAAGGATGATCTCATAGGAGTGCTGGAGCAGGAGGCAGGAGATTTGCGGTTTATTTTGGTTCTGCCACAGATTTCCTGTGAGACTGTGAGGAAGACTCTTTAATCGCTCCCTTTCTCAGTTTCCTCATCTGTAAAATGGGGATAAAGATACACTCCTATGAGGTAAAGTAATAACAAGGGAACTGCACTGATTTATGCCATCTGAGAATTTGGTCCAGTGTCTCTGTAAACTGGAAAAAGGGTTTGCTGTTGCTGAACACAGTGGAAAATCTGATAGGCTGGGAAAAGTAGTGTGCCACTCCATTCATTGCCCAGCTATTTAGTCTGACAGACCACAGCGATCCACTTGATAGAAAGCTTCCACTGGGACATGTATGACCAGAGTGGCCTCATTGAACTATAGCAATGACAGCCCCCACCTCCCTCTGGTTCACAGTTCACATGGTGGAGGACTAGAAAGGCAAAGTGATTCAGAGTGTGTATGAAGAGAGATTAGAATCAAAACAATATTTGGGTCCCTGCCAGCACCTGAATGCCTGGGCTTTCAAAGGAGTATTCAATCACTGTGAGTACACTCATGCTCAGGCTGGGTAAAACTCATTGTAAGAGCTCATTAGAATGTATCAGATTGCAAACAGCCTGTAAAAGCTCAGGGGAAAAACATTCAATTGTAGCATGGGTTGTTAGTGGGGAAAAAATCCTGTGTTCTGTCTATGGCTATAAACATATAGATGTATAACACTGGAGTGCGTCTTCCTTAAATAAATTGAAATATGCTAATTATTGGCCAAAATGTAAAACAGGAAAATTAGATTCTCTATCTGGATTGAAACTGTTGAAGATAAAACAGAAAATATAACAAGTGAAGAGCCCAAATCCAAACTCTGGATCTAGATGGCCCTGAATAGTCAGAAGGGTCCCTCTTTCTAGACTGGATCAGGTCAAATCTGCAGATCCAAACAGGCCCCAGCTTTATGGAAGTTGAGCTCCTGATTCAAATATGATGTTTCAGGTTGGGCTCATGTGTAGAATTTAGTGAAATTTGCTTCAGATCAAAATATTTTCCATAATGTATATTCTACAGGGAGTGCTTTTACTTGTCTATCACTGTTTTAAATATAGTGTGTGGTATATCAGAAAACGATATTCTCTACCTGTATTAGGCTTAGTCTTTGAAAAGTTGTTTGTGCCCTTAAACAAGCATTAAAACTGAGGATCCAGTACCTTCCTCCACAATATTATTCAATGTAAAGAAAAAACTCACAGAATATTCTGACCAGCCACACAGCAGCAGAATATTAAACCATTTTAGGAAGGGTCTCAGTTTAGGAAGGGATTTGGAGATTTCAGCTGTTTCTCAGACCAGACAAACCTGTAGTCATTTTGTAGGACAGAAGGAAGCTGCTAATGAGAACCAGGAAATACTTTCATGAGTTTCCATGAATTGTAGAAGGCCTGGTGTTAAATATTTTTGCCATCTCATGGTTCCTACACATGAACAGAACCATGTATGCTTATTTCAGGGGGAAATACTGATATCCATTATCGGGAGTGGTACAAGCCCTTAGTCTGGTTTTGGATCCTCGTCGGCCTTGCCTACTTTGCTGCTGTCCTGAGTATGATTGGAGACTGGCTAAGAGTTCTATCCAAGAAGACAAAAGAAGAGGTATGACTGCTAGTTGATCAATCATTTATCACTTTATAAGAGAATTTTAAATGCCTGATCACTGCTAGCCAGGGAGGGAGGGTCCCTCATTTGAACTAATGCAAAATAATCCCTTTTATTTACCCTGTTGGCTGCTTCTTTTCAAGCCTCTTCCTTTTTTGTATTCTAGCGTGTGACTTAACAGCTCTGATCTCTTGATCCCTTAATGAGAGAGGGAGAAAAAAAGGAATTGACTGAATCAGACTCTATGTCGTTAGCATTATAGCCCTATAGAGATCGCATGATATTAGAATTTATAGCACTATCATTATGGGAAAAGAGAAGAGAGCCTCCACCACAAAATTAGAAATTGGCCGCAAAATCAGGATCCAGAATTTAATTTCCTCTCACTGGCAAAGGACTGGGGATTCATAGATTTTTTTTTTTAGGCATGACCATTATGATTGTCTAGTCTGGCCTCCTGTATAACACAGGCCAACATACTATTTCACCCAGTAATTCCTACATTAAGCCCAAAACTTCTGTTTGAGGTATAGCATATCTTTTATATTTGACCCCAGGATTTGGTTCAGCACATTATAAAGCAAGAGTCAAACTTTAATCTGGGGTGGATTTTGAACCGTCCTTCTCCCAAATTCAGGGATAGTGGTTCAGAGTCCGGGTTTGGGTTCAGGCCCATCTCTGCTAAAAACAAAGTAGCAATGTCAGAAAGATACTTTAAAAAAATGGAGGAAACTTTAGCCACTTTTGGCAAGAGCAGTTGGTATCCTAGTACCACTTGCCCTTGGTTAATTTCAACCAAATCACTGTCTTCCACAGTTCATGGGGAAGGGAAAACAATATACTAGTGACTCACTAATAATCAGGGTGGAAATTGAGGGTAGCTGCCTTGGTTCCAGCATTATGCTGTTAAGCATAATGTGATTAATTTCACCCCTTCTACACCCCAACAAATTCTACTTTGGCAGATTAGTTAGAGAATGCATAACCAACAAGTTGTTTGCCAAATTAGAACTGCTGTTCATTATCAAGAGTTATTTGTGAAGTCAGCTGAGTTACCTGAGGCCAAATGTGTCTCTGGTGCATCTCCAAGGATGTATCCAAAGTGAGATGCATCATGGAAGAATTTGGTTTGTGTTGGTGGGCTGATCAGATGTGATATCAGCTGAAATCTATTCTACTCTATTCAAGTGGGACCTTGGAAAAGGCCTGGATGGGCTGCAACATCAACTATTAATTTTTTTCTCTCTTTTTTCTGTGTCAGAAGAAATATTTGTACAACACAGTAGCTATGTGAGCTCCCTATTCCTAAGTCATTATTCTGCATTCATGTACCTGTAGCTAGAAACATAACATAACAATAAATCACTTAGGGACATTTGAATGGAACTGTATGGCTCCTTGAAGCACCCACAGAGAATTTCCCAAGTGTTTTCCATCCTCGTGCTTTGGGAAACAAACTGATCAGCTGCTGGCATTTGGAAGAAATTCCAACACTTTGGTATATAGTATTTGGGCAGTTCAAGTGAATTATGGAGATTTTTACACTTCCCATTAAAGACTGAAGCATTTGGTAATTTCTGAGATAGGATACCAGACTAGATGGACCATAAGTCTCTTGCAGTATTTAAAATAATTGAATAAGAATATAGATTTTACCTAAATTAATTACTGCAGGGTTCAATACAGAACCTTCAGTGGGATTGCACAGGTGTAATTGTGATCACAGTTTGGGAAATAGGTCTCTCTATATAATTATGTTTATTACTTCTCAGTTATTAAAGACCTCAAAGCCTCATTTGGAAAAATGCTTGGTTGCTGATGGTTCTTTGAGTTGCCTGTCTACCTGATGAGTGCACAGAGATTACCAATCAGTGGCTTTATTGTTTCCCTAATGAAGAAAGGATTGGTAAGAGTGTGAGAGTATCCTTCTAACATTCAAGCTGGACATAAAATGTCAACTGGTGGTAGCCAAATGAAAGAAGATGAACAACTTATCTATGTGGGATACAAGTTGTTAGCCAGTCTAGACTAAGGGCTTGTCTACACTGGCACTTTACAGCGCTGCAACTTTCTCGCTCAGGGGTGTGAAAAAACACCCCCCTGAGCACAGCAAGTTTCAGGGCTGTAAAGCGCCAGCGTAGACTGTGCACCAGCCCTGGGAGCTACGGCCCTCGTGGATGCGGCAGTGCTTTAGTGTTGCCAGTGTAGACTAGCCCATAGTATGATTAAAGCTGAGCCTGTTGCTACCACTGCCAACTTTTGGGGAAGTTTGGAGCAGGCTCTGGCTCCAGATGTAGACTTTTCAGCTCTGACCAATCTCTAATTCTATGACATACAGTAAGAATGTGTGTTGTTATTCTATAGTGAGAATTTCTCTCTTTCCTTAGCATGTTTTTGTTTGTTTGTTTTTCGGAAGGTTGGTGAAATAAAAGCCCACGCGGCCGAATGGAAAGCTAACGTGACTGCTGAGTTCAGGGAAACCCGGAGGCGGCTCAGCGTGGAGATCCATGACAAGCTTCAGAGGGCAGCCACCATTCGGAGCATGGAACGTAGGCGCTTAGGGCTGGACCAGAGGGCCCACTCACTGGATATGCTCTCTCCAGAGAAACGCTCTGTCTTCGCTGCCTTGGAGACGGGACGCTTCAAGGCCTCATCTCAGGAAAGCATCAACAACAGACCTAACAACCTGCGCCTTAAAGGGACAGAACAGCTCAACAAGCATGGGCAGGGGTCATCTGAGGACAACATCATCAACAAGTTTGGCTCCTCGTCCAAGCTGACCAAAAGGAAAAACAAAGACCTGAAAAAGTGCATCCCCGAGGATGTGCGGAAAATTTATGAGACCTTCCGACACCTCTCCTTGGATGAAGAGAAGAAGGAAGAGGAGAATGAGAAGATGTGTAACTCAGAGAACTCTTCTAGCACAGCTATCCTGACCAATTGTATTCAGCAACACTTGGACCTGGAAAATGGAACCATCCCCACCGAAACCAAAGAAAGGGAACATGAAAACAAAACTTTACTTGAAGACAGAAATTAAATGTAAAAGATGCTTGACTTTAATTAACTTATGTTAGTGTTTTTATATGCATACATATATATATATTGAGACACGTGCCTTACACAGACTCCTTATTCAGTCTGAATTACATAGCATCGAAGAATATTTCACTGTGCCATAATGACTGAAGCTTGCTCTGCCAAAATGAATCAGAAACACAGCACTGGAGAATGGCAACAGAAAGCAACACATGGAGAACTTCAGCCTGTGTACAATTACAGTGGCAAAATGCAAAGGGAGAAACTTACCATGGCAATACAACTGGAGTGCTACCACCATGGCATAATGTTTGCAAAGGACAGCTATGTTAGAAGAACCCGTGGGAGGGTGAAGAAAGAGGCGGGAACTGTGTGTCTTTTAAATTGATCATGGCTTCACTGAGCCGCCCACTGGCGATTGAAAGAGGAGAAATGATTGGGATGAACTAGCAACTTTCAATCAGGCTGAGGTTACATTTTGGCACGTGATCCAAGCTAGATTTTTTTTTTTTCATTTTAAAAATCAGATGCATTATCTTTCTAAACTCCAAAAGCATGTCCCTGGACTTGGAAGCCAGTTGGACATTGGTTGTGAAATCAAGGCAAACATATTGAAGGATGTAATTGCTTTTTTCATTTTAAAAAAAATACAAAAATATGAAAAAAAATTTCCTTTTCCTCAGAGGAAATATCTGACATAAACTCGCAAATACTTAATAAAAAGCAAGTTCAAACACTACATGGTTTAAAAGGGGGGGGGGGGAGATATATACAATGTTTTGCTTGACGCATCAAATAGTGGGCCAATTTTTAAAAAATTTTCTTGTTCACACTTTATATCACTGAAGGAAGTTCAGTTTTAATTCTGTAATACTACAAAGACTGAAAGAAAGCTATAGTCTTTGCATGATGTCAGCAACTGGCTGTTTTCTGTAGCTGAATTGGAATTTTAAAGAATAGACTTAAGAGCATTTACAATACTAAAATGAGGACCAGAGCAACCTTAGAATCTCAGGGCTGTATGTCCCTTTTGGTGGGTTAGGGTTTAGACAGGAGCTGGTCATACCCTCCAAAAACAAACAAAAAAACAAACAAACAAAAAATACCCCAAACAAAACAAAACAAAAAAAGAAAATAACCAACAAAAAACTAAAAAAACAGAAGATGATAAAATACGATGGAAATATTTTAAGTGCTTATAGCTTTAAGTGCCATTAACACCATCTTACTTTGTAACTTTTAAAATAAGTATTTTGATTAATTTATTTGATTTCTTTCCCTTTCAGTTTATTTTCTTTGTTCGATATTCACTTTCTCAAGTCACTTTTCTCAATAGACTCTGAACACAACTCTGTGTGTTTTGAGACAAACAATGAAACACAAGCAAACTGTGAGAGTTTTGTATCTGTTGCTGTGACTGGATGTGCGAATATGAGAAGCACAAATGTCCCCAGACTTCAAAGTGAACATTAAGAGAAAAGACTGTGAAATAATTCTTGGGAATTGCAAACAACACTAAGGCCTGGTGCATTCAGTGTGTATGTGAGGCACTGCTTGCCATTACAAATGAGAGGTTTTTGCATGCTGGAAATGAGACATACATAATTGCACAACGTATCCTTCCCAAACCCCCCTCTTCACAAAATCCTCAAATTGCCCTTCATGCAAAGTACTCTAATTCTAACAGCATTCCTTGTAGGCTGCCAAAGTAAATGTGGTGTTAGGCTCCAGGCACATTTTGAGTCTTGCTGGCTATTCATACAACCAAGCACTTCCCAGTCATACAGGCAAAGATTTTCAAAAGTGTGTGCCAATAACTGTCTGCACAAAAATGCAAACATAATTTTTGTTTGCATTTTCTGAGATATCACATGCAAATAGACACTCAAACATTTGACTGGTCATTTGCATACACAGTTACCATGGCTGTGAATACATACATGGTAATTGCACATGAAAATGATTAGTGTGCATATTAGCATATGCAGTTATGTGTGCACAATTTGCAACACTGAGCTAAAAGTCACTGCTGCAGGAGGCAAAAGGAACTCTGAGTATGTCCTTTCCCTACAGATTCACAGCACCTGAAAAACTGTGTTCTAACTCAATTTGGTTATGAAAACCAGCTGTCCTAGAATTAAGGATGAAACATCACTGGTTGAGAAACTGCAGTAATTTCAGACTGGTTTAGCCCAATAAGATCAAGTAAAAATTGGATTTTGCTTAGTCCCCGATGAATCTGTTAAGATACAGGCCTAGATTCTGGCTTGTGTGGAGGAGCCTTGCTCTGTAGCCTTTCTCTGAAGCCGGAGGCCTCAGGAAGCACTGTGGCTGCTTCAGCTGGAATTCCTCCTGGAGGCTCCAATGGTACACATATCAGAGCAGCATCTTTGCCACCCTTTGAATGGGTGCAGTGTGCACTCCTTTCCCTGACAGATCAGTGCTGAAGTGATAGGGCCATGGCCATGCTCAAATCCCAGACCTCCTCGCTACAGGGAGCAGGGTCTAGCCAAGGAATGCAAGTGCTTTTGCCCTCCTCCCACTCTTGTGGACACATGTGGGAGCTGAACTGAATGTGGGCCATAATCAGGATTCTGACATTCACAATGCCACTTGCAAACAAATCCCTTGTTATCTCATTCTGAAATAAGTCGTATCATATTTTGTTAGCTATGTAGGTCCCAAATAGCTGAATCACACAGGACTCTGTATCTGGACTACTAATGTTTATGTTTTTCAGATCTGGGGTTTTATGGAGTTAGGAACTAGCTGCAAAAGTCAGATCTGGGTTTGGATTCCAGACAAGGTTAAGGGACGTTCAGATCTGGATCCTTGTCTAATTAAAGTGCTGTCTGAAAAGTCTATATTGCACTTTATTTGTTCACTTTGCTGGAACTGAAGGAGGATTCCAAAAGCATAGAGTACAGATGTAGCAATTCATCTTGCTTAGCAAGTGTAAAAAGACAGTAACATCCCCAGTCTGATCTCTCCCCTAAACCACATAGTACGAGCTGTAGAAAAGCTTCCTGCATAGCTTCCCTGCAAATAAGAAATAAGAGTTAGTCCTACAAAGTGCATTTACACTGTGCAGGGTCAGGGAAAGTCAATGTCAGATCAGCCATTCTTTCGAGTACTGCCCTCCTCTTTTCCATGTGGTCAGGCAAACCGACAGTTTGGAGAAAGTCTGGAATGTACCTCAGCATAAACGCTTTAAATGAATGGAGGCAGTGTTTATTGGCCAAATTCAGACCTGGCATAAGCAGGCACAGCACTATTGAGAGAGAAGACTGGAGGGTCTAAAATGTATATTGCCTCTTTGATTCCACGAGCCTTTGTGTTTACTGTTCACGTTCTAACAGTGTCCATGTCTCCCCTCAGTTGCTGCGTAGCCAAGCTATACATAATTCCCCAACTGACATTTCATTAGGGACTGTCTTGGACATCTACAGGTTTTGAATGTTTTTGATCCAGGGACAAAGGGTGATCCAAGCTAAACTCCCAGTGAGATACTAAGCAGAACGCTGGATGACCTTTCACATGAAAGACATCGCCTCAAAAAATAGAGAACTCCATTCCCCACCCCTGTATTTGTGAAACTTGCTGAGAAAGCTGCCAGTCTTGTCTCTTAATAGGGATCCTCTCATCTGGTTGCTTTCATGGTCAGGCATTGCACATTAAATAGTTTAATGTAGATTATTTGGATGATATGGTAGAGAGGGTGGCAGTGACTACACAGAAAGCCAGACTGACATTTCTAATCAGCTAATCTGATGTCATAAAGTCCTAATTCACCTCTTCTTTTTTAAAGCACATCCCCTGTATGCAGCAGTTTGGGAAACTCTCTCAGTTGAAGCCTTGACTAGAAGCATGGCTAAAATCCCTGTTCTCTTGTTTTCATAACTATATAAAAGCTTTTAATGTCATTTCGGTGGAGTTGTTGCACTATTCTTGAATGTTTTAATGAAATATGGGCTGAACCAAACCCAAACCCATACCTTCAGGTTGCTGGTTCCCAGCAGCTTTCCCAGGTTTGGAAGAGCAAAGGAGTGATTTAAATCCACTTTGCTCCTTGCTGCTATACTGAGCACACCATGGCTAGACATGAGAATCTGGCCTTAAACTACTAAGGAAATTGATTGTTTTTAGCCACAGCCCCCAAATCCAGGAAGCCGAACCAATTGCATATTTTCCTACATATTCTAGCCCGCTCTGCTCCAGTTTAAATTCACTCTTGTGCAGGAGGGTTCTGATGTTTCCCCCTGGAGATCCTTCTGAGACACTAATCATTGTTAGTATATTACAAGCACCTGGATTGCCACGTGGCTCCATTCTATTCCATCCCTGGCAGTATTTGCATGAGCATCTGGCTGTTTCGAGAAAGGGTTTTAACTTCATCCATGTGAGATTCTCCGTGGGGTTAATTCACACTTTCACAGATTATATGGGTTATTAGAAATAATACCTATAAATAAATGGTCATGATGATTTACGTTCATTTAATCCCATCTTGGGTGTTAGGGTGACATTATAAATCACTTGATCTTGTGCTGTCTCGGTCTATGATGTCTCCAGAAACTCTTGGTGGAGTTATGTGCTTGTTAAATCAGTGCAGCCCCTCCCTTGTTTTATAGGAGTATTGCTAAGTCAGGAGGAATCTTGCTCATGTCCATTTCTTACCCAACACCATCAATAAAATGTGGGCTGGAGCTGGAGCTTTCTGGGAGCAGCAGGGTCTTCCCTAAACCAGTGGATGTAAAGGAAATGAAAAGTAGGGCTGTGTATTTGGGTTATGACAAACCCTGAGAAACCTTTCTCTGAATTTGTGTTTTTGTATACATTGTTTATGTGCTTTTTTGCTTCCAGGGCCCATTGATGGCACCAAAATAACATGAGATCTGCTTCCCAGGCTTTTTCCATCATCCAGGAAGAAAAATACCATGTAAAGACCAGAGTTTGCATTATTTAGCATATTATCCTGGAGAAACAACAGTGCCTCAGTGATGTACTTTCCAGGAACACGCATGCCAGGATGTCACTTGGAGACTGGTTAATTCTCAGGATTTTGGGAGAGTCACTAGAGGTCTGTTGTGGCTTTGGACCTGCTATTTTTAAAACTCACCTGTGAGGTATCATGCACACTTAATGGTATGGCATATCAGTAATAAATACAGCTCTGTAAGTGGGTCCTGAGGCAATAAAATACCCAGAGCAAAAAGGAAACACACATAGAAATCAACAGAGCTACCTGAAATGCAAAGATATTCCCCTAGTCCACAGCATGCAACTAAATAAAGAGGGAAAAGATCTTAGGCCCAGATCCTCATAGGTATTTAGGCGCCTAACTTCCATTGATTTCAATAGGAGTTAGGCACCTACATACCTTTGAGGATCTGAGCCTTAGTATCTTTCTACTCTCTTGTTCTCACTGTATTTCAATGATATGATACAACCACATAATCATGCTGGCAAATGTTGCATCATATTATGGAAATCAGGTATTATCAAGGTGCCAGTGCTAATGTCAAGCTGGAATAATGTTAAAGGAGTAGAGACATAGTATAGCTGAGCTGGATCACGCTGGATCAAATAAGTCACATTAATCACAGGTCCCATTCACACTGCTTGTGGGCACTCGCGAACAACGTGTCTTTTAAACGGTTGCAAATAAAACCCTGTGTGCACACACTTCGTACTAAAACATCTATGCAGCTTTTGTACGAAACTTAAATGGTGATGTCCCTTACCGAATGTAGTTTCACTTTA